AACATACTTAGGTTTCTTTCCACGGATTTCCATTAATATGCATACTTAGGAGGAGAAAGATTTGTTCCTCTGAGCTATTTATATCACGGAACCCAAAATTCAGATGGTCTTAGGGTATATGAATGTAAAGAAGAAATAAGAAGGAAGGACATCAGTGTTCCTAGGTGTGGTAGAGGAAAAAGTTTATTGTAGATAACGTGGAGAGCATAGCCAGAGAGTCCAGAGTGGACATGGCCAGACTGAGGTGGGTCATGTGGGAAGAGGGGAGGGGAAGACAGGGGAAAGAGGTACAGCAGTCAGGAGGGCAAAGGAACAAAAGCGTGGGTAACCAAAATGGCTGGATTGTATAGGGAAGAGCCTCTGGGGGAAGGGCAGCCCAGCCCCTGGGCTGGAGAAGTTTAGGGTGGAGGATAGGGTATGCCAGCCATACCGAGTAAAAAGTAAGGACTGAGGGATGCTGGGAGAACCTGGCAGCTAGGTCCACTTTACTAGGTTAAATGGACATCTCAGCCACTTGGCCCTGGGTTTGAGACTTAACAATATAAAATGCTATGACAGCTAGAACATACTGGGAGCATGGGATAAACATAATGGTATTCTTGCGGCAATAAAGTTAGTTTAAATGCAGTCTGTTGAGAATGCATAAAGTATTTATTAATATTTATAAATTCATTTAAGCTGCTGAGATAATGGATAGTCTAAGTAGAAGTGAATCTGAGCATGGCAGCATAAAACCTTTATCCTTCATCCTCTTTCCAGAACATCTTCTTTCTTCAGGAGGATACTTACTCACTTGAAGTGTTGACCTTCAAGATTTTTTTTTTCTGAGGCAGAGTCTGATGCAACCTAGGCAGCTTTGAATTTCTGAGCCTCCTGCCCCAACCTCTCAATTTCTGGGATCACAAGTGTGCATCACCACATCCACCTCAGCCTTCAAGGTCTCCAGGGGAGGGTCCCCTGCACTTTCAGCCTGGTCTTGCCAGACTTCTTATTTGTTCTACTGCAACCTGCCTCTGGCGGCATCTCATCCTCCTCTACCTCCAGTCCTGGGGACTCCAGCTCTTGGAGGAGACCCAGGGTTCCCTTAGCTTATCAGCATTCCTTTGGGTCAGCTGCTGATCCCAGAAACACTCTCTACCAGGGACCCCCAGTGGCCACACTGGGCTGGGATGCTGGTAAATGATTTTCACTCTCCTTCCTGCTCTCCATTCTGGCCTCTCCAGAATTATTCTTGGTCCTCCCACCCTACCTCCACATCCAGAGGGTCAGAGAAGCAGAACAAGCCACATGCAGCCTCACCTTGCCAACTTCTCAGCTGATTTTGTTTCCTCAAACTGGAAACCTCTGAATCCTCACCCGAATGGAACTCAGCTGAACTGCTGCTCAAAAGCCTAAAAGGTTAAAAAGCCTCTAGTTCCTGGTCCTCACGCCCTGTATATCTTCCTGCTTCCTACCATCACTTCCTGGGATTAAAGGTGTGTGTCTTTCCTAAGCAAGGCATGAGATCTCAAGTGCTGGGATTAAAGTCGTATGCCACCACACCTGGCTTTGTTTGCAGTGTGGCCTTGAGCTCACAGAGATCCAGACGGATCTCTGCCTCCTGAATGCTAGGATTAAAGGCGTGTGCTACCACTGCCTAAACCTGTGTTTAATATTGTGACTGTTCTGTTCTCTGACCCCCAGATAAGTTTATTGGGGTGCACAATATATCAACCACACATAATAATCAAAACACTAAATATACAGAACAAAGAAAGAATACTGAAAGCTGCGAAGGAAAAGGACCGATAACATATAAAGGAGACCTACTAGGATAATTGCCTAACTTCTCAATGGAGACTCTAAAAGCCAGAAGGGCATGGACAGATGTGCTGCAGACTCTAAGGGAACACAGATGCCCACCCAGACTACTATATCCTGCAAAACTTTCAATTACTATACATGGAGAAAATAAGACATTCCATGATAAAACTAATTTAAGCAATATCTATGTACCTACAAATACAGTCCAACAGAAGGTGCTAGACCAACTCCAACCTAAAGAGGTTAACTACATCCAAGGAAACATGGGATAAATAATCAGGTCATGGAATCTCTTTCCAGTCTTCAGTTTCAATTTTTTAAGCCATTAGATATTGTGGTAGTTTGAATGTAATTGGCACCCATAATCTGCACTATTAGGAGGTGTGGCTTTGTTGGAGTGGGTGTGGCCTTGTTGGAGGAAGTGTGTCACTGTGGGGTGGGCTCTGAGGTTTCCTACGCTCAGGATACCATGTCTCAATCGACTTCCTGCTGCCTGTAAGATGTAGCACTCTCAGCTCCAGCGCCTTGTCTGCCTGCACACTGACATCTTCCCAGTCATGGTGATAATAGACTGAACCTCTGAAACTATAAGCAAGCCACCCCAATTAAATGTTTTCTTTATAAGTGTTGCTGTGGTCATGGTGTCTCTTTACAGCAATAAAAACCCTAAGACAGAAGCCTAGCTGGCATGTGATTTTTCTATCAAACACCTTGTTGATTATGGTGCTTATCTTGTGAGAAGTGTGTAAGCAATGCATTTCATGTCAGTCAGCATGCTTCTCTGCAAGCTGTCTTTAACCACCTCAACTAACTGCAAGAGTGAAATCTCTGAAGCATCTGGCAGCTTACAAAAAATGGAAACAAGGCAGAGGGCCCAGTTGGGAAGGGCCAGGAGTCAAGGCTGCTGTGGCAGTGGGCTGAAGGAACCAAGCCCTGGCACTGGACTCTTCTTCGTAATCTCAGTGCACCTCAGAGTGGACATACGAACCTCTCCAATCATTGCCCCAGTCTGTCATTTCCAAGTTTGAGTCTGGAATGAAGGATATTTAGTTGTGTTTCTAGCATGACTCTTCATGCCCTTCTCTCTTCACTGTTTCAGAGTCGGGTAGAAACTATATCTGCTACCCAGGTTTCCATAATAGGATGAAGCAGCGGAAGCATGGTTTGGGGATCTGTTCTCTTGCCAAGATTAGGTAAAACAGAGAAATCTACCCAGAGGAACATGTGGTGCTTCCCAGCTGGGATTCTGGGAAGTCAGAATTCTGTTAAATGTGGATAAGAATTCAGACTCCTTAGTAGCCTTGTGACAGTGGTTCATTAGATAATACTAACAACTGGCCCTGGTCTTGATTTGTAGCATTGGTCCATTTCCTGGGGATGAACTCTGTCTCTGCCCTGTTTGAATTCCTGTCCTGACTTCCTCCAGTGATAAACAGTGATATGGTAGTATAAGCCAAAAAAACCCTTTTTTACCCAAGTTACTTTTGGTCACGGTGTTTCATCACAGCAAGAGAAACCCTAACTAAGAAAATACCTTCATTGAGCAAGCATGGTTAGGAAGAAACAAGCAGGAGCATGTATTTGCCCATCTGACAGCAGCAACAGACACATCTTAAATGCATTGATGATGGAGATATATGGAAAAATCAATGGGAGGATGAGGCTTGAGTATGTATTCGTTTGTTGCTAACATTATTAATTTATATGAGGTAATTTCTAATAATAGTTGTATTTTAGTAATTTTCTTAAAACATTTAACAGTAATTCCTAGGAGCCAGTGCCAACATTGCCCTGCTATGAAGTAGGTCGATATAAATATACATGCATACACAAAGAGAAAGAAAGACAGTGAGACAAAGAGACAGAGATAGTGGTCAATCACAATTATGTATCATCTATCTGTCTGTCTGTCTGTCTGTCTATCGATCTACCTACCTACCTATTTGTTGATTAACTCTGTACCCACTAAGATGCTTGAAGCAAAGACTTGTAAAATTTTAACAGTAGCCTGTAATATTGGAGATCCTAAAAAACAGAGTATTGGTACCTGACATTATATGTAGAAAATAAATTGTTAACATCCCAATCATTTTGATCCTCATAGCATATCCAAGGGCAAGGTAAGCAAAGGGATCAGAGAGATCAGGGAAGCATTAACCATTGCCAGACAGAGCTAGGACTAGAACTGAGTCCTCTGACCTTCAGTTTACTCCTACCCTCCTGTCTGTGTGACCTTTGATGTCATTGGAACAATCACATACTGTGCTCAACCCATCACATAATTTGGTATATGTTTGTCAGGTCTCATCCCTCTGTCTCAGGCTTGGAAGCTCTCATATCTTTACAAATAAAGAATGAAATAAAGCTGGAGGCCCAGGAGATGACCTGGGCAAACTTTGGTGACAGCCAGACTTGAAGGCTTCCAGGAAGCTCTGATGTTCCTGTCCCTGGATCCTGGGGAACTGAGCTGTTTAACCATTAGGACTTTGCAGACACGATGACATGTGACTTCTGCAGCTAATATGCAGTGGCCCTGAAGCCTCTGCCTAGCTCTCTTGCCTCACCTGTTGTACCAGACACGTGGCTATGGAGGCCTATGGAGAAGCCCGTTTTGAAGGGACTGAAGTTTCCCACCAACAACCAGCACTGCGCCCTGGAGCTGTGAGTTATTTGTCCTATAAGGGGAACCTGGGTTGCAGGTCAGTCCTCAAATGACACAGCATTTGAGAAGTTGCAAGCTAGAATCACCCAGATTAAGTAACACACACACACATACACACACACACACACACACACACACACACACACACACACACACACCTGGGATTATAGGTGTGTGCCAGCCACCACACCTGACTAAAATACTCTCAAATTCTTGACTGACAGATGACTGCAGAAATTACCAACATTCTTGCTGTTTTCAGTCACTGAGTTTTGGGGTATCTAGTTGCACAATATTATGATTTGGGTGTAAGTGTCCTTCAAAAGTGTCCTGTGCTGAGGGAGTGGTCCTCAGCTGGTAGTGGCAATTGAGAGGTGACTGGATCATGAGGACACAAACTTCATCGATGGATGGATGAATCCATTGATAAACTCAGGCTAGAATGAGCTCTCAGGAAGTGGATTTGGTTAGAAACACTAAAACACGGGGCGTGGCTTTGAAGAGTGAGTGTTGTCCCTGGATCCTGCCACTTCTTCTTTTTCCTTGGCTGTCTGATGGAGCAGCTTGTCCTGGGGCCCTTGCATGGTGCTTCCATTTTCACAGGCCTAAAAACAATGGACCCAGCTGACCAGGACCCAAACTCCTGAAATGATGACGCCGAATAACCCTATCCTCCTTAAAGTGATTTCTCTTATGCATTCTGTGACTCGGACCAAAAACTGACGGGCATACTCAGTAACAAGGCACTTTGTTTCTGTCAGAGCATCACTATCTCGGGTACTGGTTCTTCCAAACGCGTAGATGTTGGGGTGGGGTCTCACAGAAGACTTTTTGTTTCTCTTTTCACCAAAAGAAGTTGAATTTCAAGCCAACAACAGAAAGCTTTTGTAAAATACGGCATTTGAAATGCATTTTACTGTTAGTGTTTCTGTAAGGACCTGTAACGCAGAGGAGAAAAATACAGTCTTGCATGGCCTCTGAAATTCTAACGGGCGAGGCAGCTTGAAGTGGAACTGTGGACGCATCCCTAGTTCACCTCACAGCAGAGTATCTCCCAACCTTCCCATGGCACTTTCAGCCACCTTTAATTTTGTGTCTCTCTTTTGGAAAGGTGCGAGTGGTACACACTATGAAGGACATTATTTATGAAGGGAGGGGGCAGGGGCTCCACTGGCTGTCTCCAATGGGAATCTTAAGAACACCTGCAGGGAGCAAGCTGCAGACACCCAGGGACATTGGGCGGTTTCTCGTGTCTCCACCCGCTGAAGTTCGCTCTGGAGAAGCTAGCTGGTATCTCCACGCAGAAGAAGCTCCGCGGCGCTCGCAGATCTGCTCCAAGGGTCCCGGCGCGGAGCCGCGGAGGCCAGACGGACCGTAGCCGAGCTGGGGACCCGGGGACGAGCTCGCCGAGCCTTTCCAGACAAACGCAGCGCGCACCTCCCGGGCAGCGCCCAGAATGGAGTGGGAGCTGAATCTGCTGCTCTACCTGGCGCTCTTCTTCTTCCTGCTTTTCCTGCTGTTTCTCCTGCTCTTCGTGGTCATCAAGCAGCTGAAGAACTCGGTGGCCAACACGGCCGGGACGCTGCAGCCCGGGCGCCTGTCACTGCACCGGGAGCCGTGGGGTTTCAATAACGAGCAAGCGGTGTGACCCAGCGCTGAGCTGGTCTCAGTTCCGCCGGGATCCAGGTACACACCTCGGGAGCGGCGGCAGGGGGACACACTCTCTACTCCTCCTCGGTCTCCGGACCCACTCAGGGCAGGGGACCGCGGGAACAGGAGTCTGACCCCGGAGCCAAGTTCTTCTAGAGCAAGCCTGATCCTGGGAGGAGAGACCCGCAGAGGTCAGTTTGGGGGCGAGAATGGTATGCACACCTGCGAACTCTTCCTCGCAGACCAACTGCATTTGTATCTAAGGGTGGAAAATTCTATTACTCAGTCAACTCAGTTCAGCCACTTCCAACAAAATTATCTAAATTACTAAAGAGTGTGAGCTTTGCTTTGAGGGCAGTTTCAATGGTGGTGCCCAGGAGAAATGATTCAGTGACTTGTTTGGGGGCGGGAAGGTGGATTTCCTCCTATTTTTGATTGCTATTCCTAGTCTAGTCTGCGGGCTTGTCAAAGGTGGGTTTAGATCCTGAGACAGCAGAGGGTGATTATGAGAATGATTCCCTGGAAAATAACCTTTGGATGGAGGGCAGGCTAGCAGAAAGGAAGCGAGAGAGGCCTGTTTGTGGTTAATATATCAGACATCTTGGGAAAGGCTGACCCTCAAGAGTAAAATCCACCTGTGCACTCTAAATAAGGTCAATGTTAGTTTGAGACATAATTTCATTCATCATATCTGGTCACTTTTCCTAGATCTATGTCATCGGGACCCAGGCTGGTGCCTTTGACTGGTGGTACCCAGGACCAAAGTCCGATCACAGCCTGGGAACCCCCGCAAAGCTGGACAGTGGGTGGTGGAATTCTTCTTACAAAAGGTATGTTGGGGCCTCTCACTCTGACTGAGTGTCTGAAGATCCAGGGCCTATCAAAGAGAAGTATCAGGATGCAAGAAACAGGTGCCTGGAAGGTGAGGGTTTTCTGCTCTGAATTGGAGAGCTTCCTCCAGAATCAAGAAGCCAAGGAAGGATATGTCTGAACCTTTGCAAAAGTCAAAGAGGAGACTGGGGCTTGTGGGAGTTAAAAAAGAAGCCCGGAACATTTGCAAATTTACTAACGACTCCCCTCTTTTTTGAAAATAGTACAGAGGTGCAAACATAATTTGTCTTCAGTCGGGAAGGTTTGGGGTTAATCTTCTCAGGATGGGACACACTATGCCATGGAAACACTAATTTTACACACACACACACACACACACACACACACACACACACTCAAGCGCACAGTCTATGGAGAGTTAAAACCCACAACATCAATTTTTGCCTAGGCTGATAATACAGAAGCTACGCAGAAGAGAACAGTTGATAATTTAAAGGAAAGTAAAAACAGCCCCGTCTAAGTGGGTAACTACCAGAAATGATTTTGGCTGGAGACAATAAGTTGATTTCCTACATATTCTATGTCATTCTGACACAATAAAGCTAGTTTTAAATGAAGACAATGGTTTATTTTAGCTATTATTTCTTGGGTAAATTCTTGTCTCCTTATCACATCTTTATCAGAGGGATAGTGAGGCTTGATTTCCATTTCCAGCCTGAATTCCAAACTTAGCAGCCATGAATCTGCATTGTGATTTGAACAATAGTCCTCTAATTAGCTGACATCTATGCAGAGATGTTTTGTTACAGGGCTGCATGGTTAATCTGAACATGGAAAATGAACGTGGGAGTGACTAATGAGCAATTATGGTTGTTTATAAGGACAGAAAATGATCATTTCATACTTTGTAAATAATCAGAATATAAATTGCTTATAAATGGCTTCTTGATTTTGTAATCTTTTCACCCTGCTGACAGTCCCGGGGTCCAGGAGTATAATCCACTGCAACTTTTCACTGACTGGAGAGAATAGAAAACTTGTCCTGGAACTTGCTTTGTAGACCAGGCTAGCCTTGAACTCACAGAGATCCGCCTGGCTCTGCCTCCCAAGTGCTGGGATTAAAGGCGTGCGCCACCACCGCCTGGCTGAGTGGCCTCCTTTCTATTACCACTGCACTAAGTCATTTATGTAGCCCTGCCCAGGATATTTATTCTTCTCACCTGACTTTTACCTGGAACTTATTTCTAAAACAGAAGTTAAGATTCCTCACATCTGCCCTCAGAATGTGTTGGTGGCATCTTTTGCCCTGCCCTCTAGTTAGAAATTCTGCCTTTGAAATTCAACATCTCGAGAAGAATTGCCTTTTCTAATTCTTTTATCCAATCATCATTTTCCAAGACCTAGCACAAAATTGATCTCCCAAAGTAGAGATACTTTCTGTTCATTAATTTTCTTGGGTCAGAGTCTTGCTGTGTAGCCTGAGCTGGCTTGGACTTGCTTTGGAGGCCAGATTGACCTTGAACTTGTCATTCTATCCCTGACTCCCAATTCCGGTATTACAGGCATGTGCCACTATGCTTGGCTCAAAAAAAACCACATTTGAACTAGATCTAATGTGCTGGTATCCACAATACTTCTGCATGTATGGATTACTCAATTCATTGACCACACCCTTATCCTAATAACCCTGAATTCTACTATATGTATGAATAAGATAGGGTCTCACTATAAAGTCCAGGCTGCCCTAGAACACACCAGCTGCCCGGTTCATCCTCCTGATGAGGATGTACCTCCATGCCTGGCCAATAATATTTTGAAAGATGAGGTAAATATGAATTAGCACTAAAGCATTTGGTAAGTCAGGAACATTTAAAATAACTGCTCATTTTGTAAGTGTAATTTTATTATGCAATATTATTGTTTCCTTTTCAACAAAAAGACTTCACATAGGTTAGAAGACAAATTTACTATTTAGTAATTAGGTCTAAATTTTAGTTGTTTAAGATGACTTCACATCTTATTAGGACAATCTTGGTTGTTTGCTAATTTCCAAACTTGTAATCACAATGAATCTACAATTCTGACTAGAGAAGGTCATTTTAAGTTGAATGAGAATGATGTCACATTCCCATTTGCAAAATCTAAAATGTCTGATAAAGTAGTTCCCTGTAGCAGTAGCGCCTGCGTTACCACTAACCGTTCACCATGTCTGAGCGAAGGGCTGCGGATTAAAAAATAGAGACAAGAGACAGCGAGTCA